CCTCCTCCTCCTCCTCCTCTTCTTCTTCTTCTTCTTCTTCTTCTTCTTCTTCTTCTTCTTCTTCTTCTTCTTCTTCTTCTTCTTCTTGCATTAATAAAAGAACGCGTTAGGTTTTGGGGAAGCGCTGGGCCGGCAGGAGACCAGGCTCGCCTGGCTGAACACACGCGAAGTCCATGCACGGAACGGATCCATCGGCCGGGAAGAGCATGCAGAGCTGAGAGCGACCTGGAGTTAGCGGCGTCCAGAGACAGGGCAGCAGGGGAGGGGAGGGGAGGGAAGGGGAGGGGAGGCATGTTGGGTGTGCCTGTGACTTAACGATGCCAGGGAGTCTGCAGAGACGCGTTGGAGAAGACGTGCAGGTGGGGCTGGCTCGAGTTGTCTGATCTTGGGATGGCGGGGCTTTCTTCATCGGCCGGCCCAGGCTCAGGGCCTCTCCCTGCCCCACGCCCCTGGGACAGGGCACAGCAAGGCTGGGCTGGCTGGGCTGGGCCCGTGGACGCCCCTCCGCGCTGGGCTCCTGGGGCCGAGCTCTTCCCTGGGCGGTCCCTTTACAGCCTCGGCGGGCAGCGGGCACGGGGAACCGGGAGGGCCGCGCCGCCCCTGGCCTGGCATCTGAGAGAGAAGGCCGACAGTTCAGGAGACACCGCCAGGCACTGCTTCCGTTCTGTTCCAGAAAGATTCAACAACGTTTCTGGGACAAAGACGGAACTAATGGTCACCCCGGTCACATCTGTGACTTGGGGACTTTTTTTTTTTTCCTGTTGGTCGTGGGTCTTGAACTCTGGGCCTGGGCGCTGTCCCTGGCTCTGGCTCAATGTGAGCCACTTGAACCACAGCACCACTTCTGGTTTTCTGGTAGTTCATTGGAGATAAGAGTCTCACCGATTTCCCTGCTCAGGCTGGCTTTGAACCGTGATCCTCAGATCTCATCCTCCTGAGTAGCTAGGATTACAGGTGTGAGCCACCAACGCCCAGCAATCAGGGACAGTTTCAACTGTTCATTCCTTGCTCACTCTCTGCCGGCAGTTCTCCCTATTTAACTAAGGCTGGAACCTGAACCCACCCCAGTGCCTGAGGCTGTTCTGAGCTCTGTCTGCCGGTGGCCTCCATGTTCTCTGCCTGCCTCCCTCCCAGTCTCTGTCTGTCTGTCTGTCTGTCTGTCTGTCTTCTGATGTTGGTGCTTGAACTCAGGGCCCCATGCTCTTCCTTGGCATTTTTGCTTGTGACTGGCATGTTACTAGTTGAGCCACACCTTCATTTCTGGCTTTTTGCTGGTTAATTAGAGAACCTCTCTGGAGGGGAGTGGCCAGACCAATTGTGGAGCTCCTGGAACTTGGGCCTGGGGGTCCAGGCACCCGGTTTCACAGCCATCCACATGGCCGTGGGGACGTGCACACGGCCTGGGGACCCCATCCCGCTCTGCTGCTGGGGTTCATGGCAGAGCCGTCTCTGAGGGCGGGAAGGGGGGCCACTGACCTGAGAAGTGGCTCCCGAGGTGTCGAACAGCGTGCTGCAGCCGCCGGCATGGTACGCATCCTTGCAGTCCCGGCAGAAGACAAACTGTGGAGAACACAGAGAGCCATGGGTCAGCTGCATGTGGTCAGGCCACGGTTTCCCTTTTCCCAACTCACCCTGATCATTCCTCTGGTCTCTATGACAAATGACCTTGTGCAAAGAGACATCAAGTTATAGTTGGATGGCTCTGTTCACTCTTCATTAGAGAATGCTACAAGCAAGGCAGCAGGATGCTGAAGATGAAGGGTGAGCTGGACACCATGGCTCACACCTATAATCCGAGCTACTTAGGATTCTGAGATCTGAGGATCAAGGTTTGAAGCCAGCCAAGGCAGAAAAACCTTTGAGACTCATATCTCTAATTACCCAGCAAAAAGCTAGAAGTGAAGGTATGGCTCAAGTAGTAGAGCATTAGCCTTGGATGAGAAGTTAATCAAGGGCATGTTGTACTGAGTTCAAGTCCCAATACCAGCATGCATATGCGCATGTGTGCGTGCATGCATGCACACACACACACACACAAGGATGAGTCACACTTCATTCCTTCCAGATGCTCCCAGCGGAGGAGACCGTATTGGGAGTAAACGCTGGGAGCCAGTGGAGATGGGAACAGAGCAGGAGGAAAGCGACTTGCGTGCATTTGGTGCTGTTTCCCTCTCTCCCTCCTGCCATCCTCTAACCCACTCAAACCACCCCACAGCCAGAAATGTGCTATGCTCCCCTCCCTCTCTGTATATGCCTACATATGTGCCTATGTGATATATAGATGCATATGATGCTCTGTGTTGCATATGCATGTGCACATGCTATGGCCTGTTTAAGGGAGCCAGGGGGAAGAGACCGGGGAAACACAGTGATAGAGGGTGAATAACATTAAAATGCATTGCCATTGTGTATGAAGGTGGTGTAAGGAATATCAATAAAAGTGTTAGTGAGCCAGGTGCTGGTGGCTCACGCCTGTAATCCTAGCTACTCAGGAGGCTGAGATCTGAGGATCTCGGTTCAAAGCCAGCC